CTAATGAGCAAGGTGTTGAGGGGCAAATATTTTTATATAGAGAATCTATTTTTAAAAAAAAAAAAGAGTGGGGACTCTTGAATTTGGAGAAGTGGGCTAGGAACTAGAGAGGATTTGAGTAGAGGTCTTAGATACCAGGTGGGGGTGGAAAATCTAATAACATTTGAGAGTCTCCTTGGATTCCTAACATCACTGGCTGCAAACCAGAGTGTCATTTTCACAGTGATATGAACAGATTGGAATGGGTGAGTGATGGGATGAGTCAAGATAGGAGGCAGTGGGATGAGAAATTGATAAATCAAATCAGGCTATGATCTTCTCATTCAAGATCTGTCAAAAAACAAGAATGAAGCAGAATCAAGTAAACAAGCAACACTTGAACAGAGTACGTGGTACATGACCTGGAAACTACCTATCAAGAACAAGATAAAGAACTTCATATGGAGAAGCTAGAATGGATTTATTAGCACAAACAACAAACATCAGAGGAAGGGTGGAGGTGGAAGAAATATGCAAAGGATGTGGGGAAGCTGGTGAGGACCTTGAGCAGTTATTTTTCAACTGCAAGAGAGCAAAAGTATATTGAAAGCTGATGTGGTTAACTTGGCATACTGGAAACAATTAAGAGTTCTTTCAAAGACAGGTGGGTAGATGTTATGAATTCTCAAAACTTCAAAACCATTAAAGATAGGATATGTCACTTTACTTACCTTCCTTGGTGGCTTTGGAGAACTAGGAACTGCTAGATTTTTTTATTGTAAATGGTATTCTGAATTAGAAGTGGGAAAAAAGGTTACGAGGGAGTGGGAGGAATACACTGATGTAGTGGTTATAAAGGAAGATGGACAACAGGATCAACATTTGAGGATCCAAACATCTTATGAGTATTTTCCAATGTAGGGTAGGTTTTGGTATTTGCTAGTGCCCTAAACTCATTAAGGGACATGGTGATTCTTAAGGAAAGGCAGAAAAAGGAGGGCAGAGTATTAAGGGTATGGACTGGACCAGGGGAGAGAGATGAGGCAGAGATTTGCAAGCAGAGGATCTTAGAAAAACTGAATGGCTACTTGAAGCTTGTGTGGAGGAATATTGGAGGGAAGTGGTGTGCAAGGTGGAACTAGAAGAGACTGACGTGTTTGTATACAAATATATACGTTCAAAAAGAGTATTTTTGATTAACCAGAGTTAATTTTTAAAAAAAAATAGTATGGTTAGTTATTAGTTGAATTTTGATTTTAAATTAAAATAATATTTCAAATAAAATAATTAAAGTTGATTTGATGTAAAAGTAAGAGAGAGATGATTTGAATTCATAGTTAATTAAAATTATATAAGTGGATGAATAGTAAATTAAAGTTGATGTGATGCGTAAAAACGACTGGTTTGCATTGTTTAATTATATTGATAATATTGATGATAGTGGAGTTTATTTAAAGTTGAGTTAGATTTTGATTGGGACTTCTTTTGAGTTTGGTTAGTGGTTAGTTGTTTGTTGTGGCGATTGAGGAGTGATTGTTTCACTTTTCGTGTGTATCTGTTCAACTAGTCTAGTTGGAGTACGTCTTTTTGTAATCAGTTGATTATGCCCTGTACATTATTTGAGTTTAATTTTAAGTTTTT